TTTTTTTGGTTTTTCTCCGGTACCGGGAACCGAACTCACGACCTTGCACTTGCCAGGCAGGCGCTTTTGCCGCTGAGCTAAATCCCCAGCCCCTCAGATCACTGTTCTGAACAGCCATTACCACACCGTGAGCAAGTGCTGCCCACTGCGATGCTAGACATTTGAAGTTGTGGCTGCCTTCTCCCCTCCCTGCCTGTGCTCCATTAGCCAGGCCCTTCCTGAAGACACTTCTTCTCCTTTTTATGTGCTACAGTCGGCCCCTCTGTAGCCACAGCTTTCTCTTCCTTGGATTCAACCCGCCAGGTGTGGAAAATATTTGAGAAAGAATCGCATCTGTGTTGAACATGTGCAGACTTTTCTTCCTTGTTATTCGCTGAACAACACAGTGTACCATGATCATAGCGTCTGCACTCTCTTCGGTACCGTGAGTCACCCAGCTGTGGTCCGGAGAACCCGGGAAGGCGTGCGTGGTCTCTGCGCAAACACTGCACCATTTTGCATAAGGCGTTTGAGCATCCGTGGATTTTGGCATCCCGGGGGCTCCTGGAACCAGCGTCCCCCAAACACAGAGATACAACCGCCTCTCTCTTCCGCTGTGGACCTAAGAGACAAACAATGGGAACAGCAGAGGAGATGAACCCAGAGGGGGATGGTCTGAGCCGCTGTCCAGCAGCAAGGGCTGACTGTGCTCCCCTCTCCCCAGCTCTGCCCTGGGTCATGTCTCATACCTGCAGTGGGAGCATCGATGCCATGGAAATGGGCAGATGCTACACATCAGGGTTGCTGGCTGTCTGTTTTCTGCGTGTTTTGAGAGTAGGTCACTAATTTGCCGGCATTCTGCTGATCTTAGGATACGAGGTGTATTTGCTGCCGAGCAGTCTTCTGGATACCCTTCTTATTTCCAGCCTGTGTTCAGATGACTGCTGGCTGCAGAGTGCTGAGTACCGGGGGCCTGAGAGGACCCTGCACTTGGAATTGCTCTGTGATGCTTTAGCTGTGTGACCTTTACCTCCAAGCTGGGCAAAGTTAAAGCCAGGGTGGGAGTGGGCAGAGGGTCCTACCTCAGGATGCTGGGTTGGCACTGACTTCCTGCCTCCATCCTCTGTCCCCCTGCAGCTGGGTGGGCTATGAACAGGCCAACTGCAAGGGCGAGCAGTTTGTGTTTGAGAAAGGGGAATACCCCCGCTGGGACTCCTGGACCAGCAGCCGGAGGACCGACTCCCTCAGCTCCCTGAGGCCCATCAAAGTGGTAAGTCCCCGGCCCACCACCCTGCCCTCTCTCTCTGCCACACTGGGGGCTTTGCTACTCATGGTGTGCCCCTACTGATGGGCCAGGAACTTCCCCACTAAAGGACTTCATGAAAGTCATTTCCCCTCCCTGGGCCTCAGTCTCCTCATCTGTGAAATGGGGTTATTACTGTCCACTGTCCTGAAACTCCAGCATGCTCAGCCTGAGGACTGTCACCTTGGATTGCTCCAGGGCTCCATGTGCAAGACTACGGCATGCTCTCTGGGGTTGTATACTGAGCAAGTAATTGCTCAATAAATGAGAGCCATCATCAATATTAAGAATTATTTGAGATTAAGAATGAGGAAGGTGGCTTGGCTCTTACTCAAGACCCATGCCAGTGTGAGCTTCTGGCATTTCTCTGTTCCCAGTTCTACCTCTGTTCCTGATTCTTGCCAGCATGCGAATCCTTGGGGAAGGGACAGGTCATTGCAGTCCTCACACGCTCCACTCTCAAACCTTCCAAGCCAGACCAGTTCCTCCCAGAGCTTGATGGGAGACTGGAGAAGTTTGGGCTTGGCCTCAGAACTGGGTTCAGATGTTAGCTCTGCTATTCCCAGCTCTGTGACCCTGGGCCGGTAACTTTACCTCTCTGAGCTTCATCTGCCTCATCTTCTCATCTGCCAAACAGCGTAAGAGTTGCTTAAAGGATTAAAGCAGGTAACTAAGAAATATGTCAGGAGGATGGGAAGAGCTAAGGAGGTGATACACGCCAGGTAGAGAGAGGCAATGAGGCTGTGTGCGCATCTAGGTGGGTGGATGGACAGACCACGGCTGCCACTTTGAAAGAGGAAGTTGAGGCTGCGGGAGGGAAATGACCTTTCAGAATCAGTATTCACCAAGCGTAGGATGGGGAAGGGTCTGTTACATGAAAACAGGAAGTCTGCAAGTGGCCACTGTCCCAGACACCCAGGGGTGGTGGGCTGGGAGAGGCTCACCGGCAGAGCCCCACCCAGGGACAGAGGATGAGGTGGGGCCCCTCCCCCACATTCACGCGCCCCCGCCGTGCCAACAGGACAGCCAGGAGCACAAGATCATCCTCTATGAGAACCCCAACTTCACGGGGAAGAAGATGGAGATCATCGACGACGACGTGCCCAGCTTCCACGCCCACGGCTACCAGGAGAAGGTGTCATCCGTGCGTGTGCAGAGCGGCACGTAAGTGTGCTGGGGCCCCGCGTCCTGCTCAGCCCCAGAGCTTGCTAGCGACCATGTCACCGTCCTCTAGGACCTCAGATCTCCTGAAAGAGAGTGGGCGCCAGTCATCAGCCACGTGTGACTTCCAGAAGTTGCACCCAGGCACAACCCTCTGCCTCTGGGCAGAGAAAGCTCGGCTGCAACCTCAGCCCTGAGAAGCGGAGGGGCAGGGGGTGGCAGCTTAGGGTTAGGGGAGTGAGGCAGAATGGTGGGCGCGAGCTGACGGGTCTTCATGCCGCTGCGGCGGCAGTGAATCTAGCCCATGCCGGCCGTTTCCTGAATGTGCTCCTGAGTCGCAGACAGGGATCCCATTCCATCGAAGGGAAGGCCTCTGACACATGAACCTTGGTCATGAGCATTGAGGGATTGCCCCTGTGGAAAATGCAGGTTCTACAACGGTCCCCGGGCTCCTGGCGTGCGTGTGCTGGAGCCGGTGCATACAGTCAGTGCTCTGTACCTGGGGATTCAACTCACCGCGGGTGGGAAATTCACACTTGCACTCAACATGTACACTTTTTTCTTCTTGTCATCATTTCCCGAATGACACTGTAACAACCATTCACACAGTGTTTGTATCGTACCAGGTGTTACAAGTCATTCAGAACGATTTACAGTAAGCAGGAGGGCGTGCCTAGGTTCTTTCTGAGTACTATGCTGTTTTATCTAAGGGACTTGAGCACCCACAGATTTGGATGTCTGTGGGGGTCTTGGGACCAACACCCTGGACCTAGGGACAATGTACCAGTTTGTAATAGTCAAATCCTAAATTTCCAGAAACTTTGTGGATTCTGGTTCATCATTGGAACTTGAGATCAACCGTGCTAAGCAAACTTATACTAAGGAATTGGCGAGTGCTACAAATTAGGGCTTTTCCTAGAGAGCTGGGTGGGCAACACACACTGGCTTCCTGGGGCTTGTCACGCTCTGGAAATGGTGCCAATTTCTGTGTTCATTCATCCATGCATTCCTCCCTTCACTGATTTAATTTGCCAAATGCTGCCATGTGCCTGGCACTGTGTCAGGCACTCAGAATGTGAAGGCAGAAGAGGGGGACCCTGGCGTCTGCCTAACACTTTAGAGGGAGCAACTATTAGCAATTTAAGAATCCCTACACATCTAAACTACCTTCTCAGGGAGGAGGCTCGAGCTGACATATCAACTCACAGTAGGAACTACTAAATAAGAAAATGAGGAAAGGCACCCTAGAAAAGGAGAGTTTCATGTACAAAGGCCCTGTGGTGGGAATCCTTGAAGGACTACAGGATGGCAGCTGCAGTGCAGAGATGTGGGGGCACAGGACTGAGATGCAGTGATGGTGGTGTTCACAGAGCCTGGCTGGGCAGGTCCCTGTAGGGAGAAGATTGTAATGTTCAAGTGCTCAAAAGACTGATTGGCCTGCTACACGGTAAATGCCCTGAACGGGGGGTGGCTTACAGAGGTTTCCTGGAATCTTCCCATCTCCCTCGGCCTTGCTGCTGGGCTTGGGCTTGGGACTAGGGGGACAGAGGTAGCTAAGGGGCCTGTCTGCTCCTAAGCACCCATGAGCTCGTGATCTCTCCTTGCTGTGATCCTGGTACCAGGCCCTTGGTCAAAATTTGCACTGGAAGTCAGCGAGAAGGAAGCAGGCAGGGGGTACACACTGGAAGGTTGGGGTGGGAAGTAGTGTCCAGCTCAGCACCGCGAAGGGCGGCTCTGTTCTTCCTGATGGCTGAAGGATGCTCCCGCCCACCCGCCTCTGTCCCGCAGGTGGGTTGGCTATCAGTACCCCGGCTACCGTGGGCTGCAGTACCTGCTGGAGAAGGGGGACTACAAGGACAGCAGCGACTTCGGGGCCCCCCACCCCCAGGTGCAGTCTGTGCGCCGCATCCGAGATATGCAGTGGCACCAACGGGGTACCTTCCACCCCTCCAACTAGCGCCCCAGCCCCATCCCACCTGCCCAGAAGCCAGGGCTGCTGTCCGGGATCCCGCCAGGCCCCCCAGCGAGTGAATAAAGTGTGTCTTGCAACTTGTCTGCTGCTAGTCTTTATCCACGGTGGGACTGGTGTGTGTGTGTGTGTGTGTGTGTGTGTGTGTGTGTGTGTGTATGTGTATGAGAAAGAAAGAAAGAGAGAGTGGGAATATCAATCACCAAGTGAAGAATCTGGACCCACAGCTCTGCAGCTACTTAGCTGTGTGACCTTGAACACACTATGCAACCTCTCTGAGCCGGTTTCTTTACCTTACAACTAACTGCCTCGCTTCCTAAGTGCCTGGCTTCGCTCACCTCCAATGCTCACATGACACAGACGCGCTTAAACACAGGCCCACTGCTGGCCGTTCTTGTGTTACTGTTACCACTGTGATCCTGGGAGGTTTTTCTGTGCTTTTGTTCTGCATCTCCCAGAACAGCCAAGTGTCCTGCAATGCCCACCCCACCCCGGAGAGGCACAAGCTACGTGTTTGTGTGTCTGCATCCACTGACCCCTGCCTGCACCGTCTGATTGGTCTGATGTGGGCACGGCCAGGTGCAAGGCGACCAGGCAGCCTGCAGGAACAAGACACAATTTAAAGACAGCACCTTCAGTACACATAACGCCTTATACTTTGCTGACAATGATCGATTCTTATGAGTGCAACGGAGAAGTTGGGAAGATTGTTCCAGGAATCACAGAATGAGCGGCGCGGCTCCAAGTGCGATGACTGTAGCAGCAGGTGAACCATGGGGGCAGGTTCTGAATTGGCTCCACGTGGATCAAATCCCCCAGCAACTTCACAAACATTAAATCCCTTCCCCGCCACTGGGTATATTAAATTTAACTCATTAAAGCTGTATGTACTTCAGAATTTTTATAAGTGACATTTATATCTACCATGTTTAGAAAAGGCTTAAATTAAGTAAATAAAACCCCAATAAGACAGGGATCACAGCACAGGGGGAAAAACTGGGAAATTTCAGATAAAAGTTTAGATATACCACAGCTTCACGCAAAACTTGGCAATAAATTAAGACTTAGAAAAAAAGTTGTATCAAGAACTATGAAGTTCAGCCGGGGCATGGTGGTGCATGCACTCGGGAGGCTGAGGCAGGAGGATCGTTGCAAGTTCGAGACCAGCCTGGGCTACAAAGTGAGCTTAAGGCCAGCCTGAACTGCATAGAGAGACCCTGTCTCACAAAAGACGAAAAAAAAAAAGAAAAAAAAAAGAACTATGAAGTTCAAAGTTATGTCACTGGACCACAATTTGATGTTTTTTGTTTCTGGTGTATTTAAAAAATCATAATTTTTTTTTTAAATTCAGCATTGAAACTTTTATTTTTCACTGCTTGAGAATTTGACAAGCAATTCCAAACCATGTTTTCCAAACCCCATCTTCAGAACTTTGAGACCTAGTATGTAAGCTACTCCATCCTAAATGTACAGTTTCAGGTACCTACTGAAGACCTAGGGATGAGAGAGTAACCTGAAAATAGCCCATCAGTCACGAAGAGTGGTGTCTGTCCAACAATCAAAACTGAAGGGAGAGATATTAGAAAACAGAGCAGTGCTGTCTTGTCATAAAAGAGAACATGTAAGATTAATTTATCCTTTGTAGACTTTGGCAAAGTTTATTTCCCACACATGACTCAAACTCACTTCATCTTCTATGTGAAATCTCCAGCAGGGTCTGATGAATAAAATCCCTGCGTGTCATTCCAGAGAGGAACAAGTTACTTTGGAAGGAGAGTGATGTTCTGAGAACTTCTTTTCAATGCTTATAGTTAGTGGAACTATTTTAAAACTTTGGAAGCTAAACAGCATCCCATTCCACAAACAGAACAGGAAATCAAAACTTTCTCAGGAAAAATTTCACAGGTACTTTTAAGATTATGACTTGTGAAGGAC